CATATTTTTTAAGTGGGAACTTGCAAGTGAAATGCATGGGGAGGCCATGCAACTTAAAATGATGACAGTTTGCCTAGAGATACAGAGATCATCCCCCAGATTTAGCTCCAGTTCCCAGCTGCCCTTGTGTCTGATAAGGAAGTATGAGGAATTTCATTCTAGAGAGAAAAGCAGAGCTGTGGACTGCCTGAGATGCTCATTCCCCAAAGATACAATCCCTTGCCATGTTGTTTCTTGAAGGTGGTCTCACAGCAGCCTTAGTTAGGGTTCAAGTCATGCCTAAATGAGAGAAATACAATGAATGAAAAGAAGTCAGTAGAGAGATTACAGTGTGCAGTATTGTCAACTGTTCTTCTTAACTTGAGAAGTTCAGAACATGGATGAATATTTGTTGAGTTTTTTTAATGCAATAACTGCTTTTCAGTGTTACTCATCTATCTGAGTGGTTGCTGTAGCTACAGCATAACCCTGAGAATTGGCAGAGGGAATCGTGTATTCTACCACATTCTCTGGCCCATATCAAATATTTCGTGAATATTTGTATACCCTAAAGTAGCTGTTAGCTGGAAAGATCTGTGAATATGAGAGATTATCAACCTTAAATTTCAGGATTTGTCTTGTTTAAATGCATTAATATACCCTCAGATACTTTGTCATCCAAATGAATGTTTAATTGTTACTTGAATCCCGGGGTTTTTTGTAGGAAATTACATCATATATGAGAAGGTAGTCCATAAAATAAACCTCATTAGTATTTGAGAAGTGCAGATTTAAGGTCATTTATTTATGTAAGTGCTGGCTGTTGTAAACCATATGTGACACTAGGGGAAGTTTGTTTATGGAGTCAGTTTACTGGAAAATCAACAAGGGCAGAGCTGCTCTAAGTGCTAATATTTGGAATGAGTCAGGTTTGACATTTCAAGTTGGAAAAGAGCTCAGAATTTAGAACCAAGTTAAGAATATACTGGATGGATGATTTTGGGAAGGACAAATTAGATTTCTAAATTGACATGCAGTGCTAAAACTAGGAACAGCTTGCCTGGATTCAGAAAAATGACTAATACAGAAAAAATCTGAACTTACTTGGGAGGAAGGAATCAATGTAGGGAATGTGCGCTAAATGCTTTAAATATCCTGTGCAGAAAACAAGGAAAGGGACAGGTATTGGGTAGTTGGCAATAAATATATTACTACTACAAAAACACCATGAAAATCAATCACCAAATAAATTAATCGGGAGCTAAGAGGTGAAACAAGAAGAAATATTAATTTTAGATCTCACCCCTCCCAAACTCTGTTCCTGGCTGTCGAATGGGTTGTCACATCACAGACAGGATATAATTGCCATGGAGATCGTTACAAGAACTTTTCCTGTAATTTAGATTTTACTGGGTTAATATTTCTTTTCCATGCTTCCCTAGAAAGAAAGGATTATTTAAATGCTAGTTATGAAGTATGTATTAACATTAAATATCTTTATGTAGGATGATTTTTGTGTTGTCCTTTTACACTTTATATTGTGAACCAGGCCTTAAGGGCTTTCCCTGTGGTTACAGAGTGAAGCTGTAGTAGTACAAGGACCTCATGACTGCCTGTCCGAGCTTAGGCTGGTGCCCATGGGGCACTCATTCTTGTCTTGCTCCTTCTTGTAACAGTTATTTACACTGCATTTTTATCTGAGGACTGTGAAAATTATTTTTATATATATTCTTTAGAATACTGGAAAGCCTACACTTTGTATTGTTAGTCTTCAGGTGAAAATTGTTCTTTTCCTTATACTTTCCATGCTGTAATTATATGTCAAAAGGTTTTCTCAGCCTTACGGAAGGATGGCCTCTGCTTTTAACAGCTGTCTAAGAATTCTAATATGTATCATTCTTGTGGAAATCTGTACAGTGAACTAAAGTAGTATGACCCTGTTAGACAGAATAAGATAAAAGATACTTCTAATAGCCTCACTTTTTTTTCATTGCAAATTGTATTCCTATACCTGAACTTGTGTAGTTCTGTCCAAAAGTTTATGTTGTCACAGCTTTCAGATTATCCATTGCAATCTTTCACTGTCAGTTTTGGAATACTCCAAAAACTTTTTGCCCCAAGACTTAGCCAACAAGTACACAAGTAATTCTGTTACATTAAATGTCATTTGTTGACAGGTTGCAACTCGCATATGCAGTGGAAGGGGCAGTGGTGGTCCCTGTGCCAGAAGGAATACAGAAATTGTTCCGTCTTGGAACATGGAATATAGTAGGCATGCAAATCACGAGAGCAAGAGGGAGATTGCCCTCCCTTTCCTCTACCTTGTAGAGCTGATTATTGCCAGTGGTGCCAGAGAGAAGAAGGGGAAGGAATTGCACTGGGAAACGGAATCTCTCCTGTGACTTACTGAGGTCGAAAAAGATTTTTCCTTCCGTTTCAGAAACATCAGTAGGCTGATTACTGAGATGAGCAGTGCTTGTGCTAAAGGATGGAGGAAGGAGAACAGCTTTAGCTGAGCTGCCAGTACAGAAAAATACAGAAACTGTATTTATTGCCAAATTCCAGATGGATTCTATCAAAGTAAAGCCACAGAGGCATCAAAATGAAGGCCTGTTGTGCTCAATGGCATATCCCACTCTGATGACTTCTGAGGGTAGAGCACTAGGCTTAGTATAGCCTAGTTTTTTGTCTTTAGCTGAGTTCTGCATTGTTCTGACCCTTGCACCTATGTACTCACTCCGAGGTTATTTTCATGCAGCTAAGAGCTTGACCACTGCCCCCTGCTATTCTTGTAGCAGAGGGTTTTCTTCATCCAGGTCACCATCAAGGACAGGAAATGTAACAAGGAAAAATTGTTGCCAGCAGCAAGGGCCTAGATGAAGCTGATGAAGACGGGTTGCTGGAAGTGAGGATCTCCTTTCTATAACTGAAGGAGCCGTTCTCCCTGCTCATTTGCTATCCTCAGCTTCCCTACCAACCAAAAAGAACATGTATTCCTAGATCAGCGGATTCACAGACTCAGAGCTGGAGTCTTGAGCTTGCTGCCACACTTTTTCTTTGTGTTCTTGCAAAAGGTTGAGCACTGTATATCACAGATTCTTGGATCCTTGTGCTGGATTCTGCTTTTTTCTGGAGTTTGGAAGTCTGCATTACTGAAATTTATTGAGCTTGGGAGAAAAAAAAAAAAAATCAGTTATATGCAGAATCTAACTGTGTTCAGGTTGCCTAGTCCTTGATGTTTCATTATTCCAGAGGAAAGAAAGGAGCAACTGTGACTCACAGTAAAAATCTTAGTGTTTCAGTTCTCAGATTTATGATTCATATTAAAACTGTTTGTTTGGTCTTTTCATGAGAGCCGTAGGTGTCATTGGGCTGAATTCTCCTTCTTATTGTCATAATTTTGATGACCTTGAATTCAAGACTGAGTTACATTTCATATGTGTACTGATCATTTGTTAATTATAGATGAAGGCATTATACTTCGGTGTGCTGAAAACTTGCTTGTACCAAAGTAAAGAGAGGATACTTGTTAGTTTGGGTATTGAAATTTCTGATTCATCTAAAAATTTCACTAGGATCTGAAGCCAGTCTAAAGTAAGAGATGATGACTGACTCTGTGACAAACTGAATTCTGCTTTTTACATACTTGCCACCACAGTTATTTTTGTTATTTGTGCCACGTTATTTATAAGAAGCACTTTCCTCCGCAGTGTGTCACAATTTAGCCCAGTCACCTGTATAGATCTACAAATAACTAAGTAAGGTCATTAACTGCATTCTTCCTGTTGACAACAAACTGTGCTTATGAGCCATTGCCCATTTTTTTTTAACTAATGCTGTGTGTAGAACTGTTTAGACCTATTGTGATATATGAAAAAGTTTATCGTTTCCTGTTAGGTCAAAGGTTTAGAAAAACATAGGCGATGAAGCAGATTTGATGGCATTATTTCTTGTATTTGTGTAGTATTAAGACTTCAGATTGCTGGTCTTCATTCCTGTGATGTACCTGTGAATAAGCTGTGCTGCTTTTCATATAGAAGAGCAGAAGGGCCTTGCCTTTAAGTCCCACAGTGAATCAAAGTTGGAATACAGTGGTCAGTATTTGACCCTTCTGCTCCACTCTCTTTGATCATACCTGTACTACCTGCTGTAAAGCTTCAGTATCATATGTTTAGACAGATACACATTTAAGGCTTGGCTTTGGCTATTAAGTCTCAATAATGTAATTGTCATGAGTAAATTAAAGGTCATGTTTTGCTTTACAGGTAAATACACATCTTGGGATATTTTACATTCAAAATCTGTTTTTCTTCTTTATGTTTTTTTTTTTTTTTAATTTTTCACCAGTGTATGTGAACGACATATAGACATGAGAACTTTATTCGTTTTGGTGTAATGAGTGTGAAACAGGCCATGCTTAATGTTTAAATATCAGTTGTGACACTTTGCTCAAGCATGAGGAACAAAGTTAAAGCCAGACTTGATAAACTCAGCTAGCAAAATATGAATCAAACCCTGTTAAGTACCTCCTGGCAAACCAATCCTCTGACGTGAACAGGAGCTCTGCTGTGATTTCCCCCCTCCTCTCTCCAGTTAAAAATTTGGAGCTCAACCCTGTGAAGTGCTGGGTGTCAGAGAAAGCCATGTGGGAACTGAAATTTTCAGCATCTTCAGGATTAGGCCTTTATTTTGGTCCACACCTTGTGCATTATGCAATCTGTTGTTTTTGAACTAATAGATTTCTTTCTCTTTTCCCTCATCCTGAAAACTAGGTTATGTTATGTCAATTACAAATCCTGGTTATAGAATTTTATTCTTTTTTAATGCAAATAAAGTAAAGCCATAAAGCATATTTCCCTCATAAGAAGATTAACGTACAGAACTTGGTTCACTTATGTTGTCTTTTGTGCTGATTTGGTCTTGTTTCCATAGGATGAGATAGCCATCTCTGTAATATTAGTATATTTACTTGCTGTAATCTGATGTACCATTTCTCTCCCCTTTTTTTCTCCTTCCCTAAGATTATCGTTGGAGAAACTGCAGTGTTTTGTCTACAGTTAGCTACAAAGGATTTTGAAAACCAAGAAAAAACAATATTAACTGGAGACTGTTGTTATATAAATCCACTGGTGCGCAGGACCATCAGATTCCTTGGTATGAGCAAAATTAATGCTTTCATTTTCTGAATGATGAGAGTGATCAATTATGTCTTAATGTTGACCTGGGGAAAATACTCAGATAACCATACAACATTTCATGTGTAGTGTTAACTCAGGTGTGATGAGTTCTCTCCTTTTGGATAGCAAATGAAGCTTCTTGGAAGTGTGGATAAAAAAATAGTTGCAGAAACAGCAGTAAAAATAGAAAAAAATGGGGACCACAAGGGGTCAACAACAACCAGCAGGCCTGGAGTATAGTGAAGTGGAGAAAGGAGATATCTTTGTGCCATATCTATAGTTGATAGTTTTCTTTGGGTTACATGCACACATAGCAGCCAAAGTTGAAGACTTGCGATATAAAAGTGTGTTTGAAGCCAAGCCTGGTTTAGGTACTTTCTAACCCTGGAGATTGTATTATAGTTGCTAGTAGAAAACTACAAAATCCATGCTGCACTGAAGTCAGCTGTAACTCCCCCATTGATGTTTGTAGATACGAGTTGTCATCCTTTCTAGTTAGTTCATTGTGAATGTGTTTGGAGGGAGAAGTACCACCACTCAAAATGTCTACTGAATATTCCCAGATGCTGCTTTTTAGTGTGTGCAGGGTTGCCATAGCAGGGCTCAGTTCTGTTCTTTGCTTCTCACTTATGGTTGTATCTAAGAGAAACAGCTGGAGGAACGAAGCCTTGGGGCAACTAATCCTCCTGCGTGCCCCAGTTACAGGGGGAGGGAGGGAATGTGCAGCTGTGGCTGTATTTGCAGTGTTTGTGTAACAGCCGTGCTTGCCTTCTGAGAGCGCGATTGCTCACTGTCACACTGGAGTGGGTAAAAGTTGTTAAGAATGAGACTGTCTTGCATAGGTCCAGAGGAGGTGGGGAGTGATGATGAGGAGCTCCTCCCGTTGCAGTTGCTCTATGTGTGATCAGTGCCCACGTTTCCGTCCCACCCGGAGGGCCCTCCTTGCTCACAGAAGCAAAAAAAAAACCCACCCCAAAACCCCACCAAAACAACAGTGCGGGGAGCGAAGGAAGGGATGAACAATGGCCTCCGCGCTGTGATTTACCTGTGGAAATACAGGAGGAAATCTGTAGCTCAGGTGGAATTTGAACACATACCTGCTGGCTTTGCTCCCCAGTCAGGGTGCTGCGTTTCCATTTCTTTCAAGAGCTCATTTCTGATTCCAAAAGGATAGAAAGGGACCTCAGAATAGAAGAAATCCGTTTTCTTTTAAGTAATTGGGTACATGCATTTGCATCTAACAAATGAGTACACGTGCTTAATACTTTGCGGATATGTCTGATAAAAAACCTCTTTAGCATAAGTAGTTCCTCAAATATATATAGATCTTCAGCTCACTCTGTTGATACTGTGATTAATACGCCATGCATAGAGATGTACCCAGTAGCAGGCAGGTGAAGACAACTCGTGCATTGCAATACTGAATTATTCAGTACTTCAGCTTCTTTACAGCTGCAAGGGAAAAGAAAATGTCTGTCCAGTATGTGTTACGAATTTTCAAGTTACTTCTGCACCAGCGCCTGACTTCCTTGGTTCTCAAGCAGATTGACAGGGTGAAGAATTTGCCCCCGTCACTTCTGTTTAATGAGCATGGGCAAAAGTTAGGCACTACTATAGGTACCCTGAACAGTGGAGGTTCATGGCTAGGGAGCCTAGGAAGGCGGGCTATGTACACAAGAGGTGAGAGTGCTCTTCTGAAGGATGGAGAGAGATTAGGTGTGTGGGTACGTTGCAGTGTTGTTGCTGCGGTTGTGTGGGAAAGTACCATCTCCAACATGAGCCAGGATCTTTAGTGTATAGTACATGTGAGGGTTTTTCAAGTCTTTACATGGAGGGAGCTGGTATAGTACTGTGATAAATACTACAATATGTTGCCCTGAAGTGAAATTGTCAGGAAATTTAACTCTTTGTTTCCCTCTTTAGGAATTTACGCATTTGGACTGTTTGCTACGGACATCTTTGTAAATGCTGGACAAGTAGTAACAGGGAATCTTGCACCACATTTTCTTGCACTTTGTAAACCCAACTATACAGCACTTGGATGTAAACAGTATACACAATTCATCAGTAGTGTACATGCCTGTACTGGAAATCCAGACCTTATAACGAAAGCCAGAAAGACATTCCCATCCAAAGAAGCAGCACTAAGCGTATATGCAGCTATGTATCTGGCTGTAAGTATATTGTGCTATTTAATGTCACTATATTTTTGAGAGCAAACAGCTCACACTGTGAGGGGAGGAGGGAGGAATGGGGAGAAGACAAGACATCCATTGGCTGATTTTATATATGTAAACCTTATATGAGTTACTGTGAGGCCTTTAAGAATTTGGTACATTGGACTTAATTCTGACAATTACAGATGTAGTGGTTCTCTGAGCCATGAAAGTTAAGGCATGCTGAGAGAGGGCAAGTCGTCCAAAAAGAGTTATAGATTTGGGATAACCAGGTCCTTGGGTTTACTTTTTCCCCATTTCCAGAGAACGTGGGAACGTGACTACTTTGTTCAGTAGTCAATAATGAGACTAGGAATTGCCCATGACTAGAAGTGGTTCCTTTCCATGTTTTAACACAGTACAAATTAGTGGAGTTGCACATGGCCATATTTGTTGGTGGTGTGAAGCAGAAGAGCGGGCATATGTGTGTGTCTGATCTCTACAGGTTTCCAGAGATCTGTCTGTGTCTTTAGGTACCAGAATTGGTATTTATAGGTACCTCAGTGCTCATGCAAAGTCAGTTTGGCTCTTATTCTGCCATGAAGTGGGCTACAAGACAATTCAGTCCTCCTTCCCTCTCCTCTCTGATCCAGAGAGTAATGAGCAGGGCTGGGATAGAAACTGTTTTTTACTGCCTGGCATCAGAGCTGTTCTAGAGGCTATTGAGAAGTGTGGGAAGGCAGGTGAGAGGAAGAGTGACTAATGAATCTCGCTCAGCTAATTCTGTGCAGTATTCCCTGGCTTAGTTTGGAGTGCACATCATTCTCGTCTTAAGCAGAAGCACATCTGGTTCTTAGTAAAGTTGTCCCCAGCACATGCCTATGGGAGTCTTTTACTTGATCTGCGCTGGTAATCACAGTCCTTTGTCACCCTTTGGATGGACCTGGGGCTGCCCCTCATAGTCTCAGTGCGAAACTAGGCAAGCGTGTGCGTACACCTCTATGGTAGTTGCCCTTAAATTCCCTCCGTATTTGAACAGTGGCCTGCCTATACACGTGTGTGTGTGTATGTAAATGTGCATACATATGAATGTATATATATGTGTGTGAGTGTGTATTGCATTTGAGTGTATATTTAATGAGCTGACACTTAATTCCTGACTGATCTGGAAACTGATACTTGACAACATGGCAAAGAACCCAACGCCATCCACAGACAGTGTGCCAATCCCATGCTTCTGAATATGGTTTTAGAACCAGTTGCTTAAAATCTGCAGCACTGACAGGAACATTTACCAGAAGTTCCTTGTGAGCAATGTCTATTTGAGATGTGGATCATCAGTTAGTACAGGCAAATGTTACCTGCAAATAAGAGATGAGCCATAAAATTCTATTCTAACTTGAGGCAAGTGTAAGACTCCTAATAGTATTCTCTTTATTTGGGGAGATATCTAAGGCTTTGCTTGACTGAAACATACCTCTAAATTTGGTGCAAGCTATTTTAGAAAATATTCAGTATTCTTCATTTTAATTGCTCCTATTTTTCTCATCCATCTGTAAAGTTGGATTTCCACTGTTGCCATGAGTCACAGTAACTAAAGGAAACCAACTGTTCAGCTACTGCAGAGCAGGAAGGAAAATAGTATTAATAAACTTTAAAAAACAAAAAGTAGACATTAGTAAGGTCTAATACCTAGTATCAATGGCTTTTGGCACGAGCAGTATTTTATGCAAACCTTATGTTGTCTGTGGTCAATATACAGTTAGCAACATCAAAAATTGAAAACTGCTGTGATCTGTTTCATGACTTTATAAATCGTTCAGTAACTGCAGAAATGAATATATCCTATGTCATTACTGTATTGTTGCATGATGCATGACACTGTCATTGTTAACTAAAGTACTATACACTGCTCTTGGGATTTCTGAATTCTTATAGGCTGCCTAATAAAGTAAATTGCTATGATGTATCAGCTGAGTTGCAGCCTGCAAATTTAGGTCTTTGATGCAATATTGGCAGTCTGGTTGGGGTTTTTTTTTTTGTTTGTTTTTTTTCAATGCTGTTGCATGCCTGCAGCTACAAATACTATCTATTACACACCAGGGAAAGAAATGCAATGTTCCAATATTTGGGGTCGTGTCCTGATGTTTATCAGGATAGCTGGCCCTGAATAACAACTTTCTCATCGGTATTCACTGGAGTAGAAGATTTAAACAGTAGCCTAGTCTTTGTATGAGCCGTGGTACAACAGTTATTGAGAACATGGACATAAAGACCTCCATATATTACTCAGCTAGTATTTCATGAACATATAATCTCTGATACAAAATGTGCTTTCTTTTTGGTTAACAGAAATATTTGGGAGAGAGGGAGGAATTGTTACAGAATCCTCCCTGGACATTTCAGCCAGCTGTGCACAAAATGAAACCAGCTTAAAGGCATAAACAGGCAACAAGCTGATCCAGAGCCTTGCTCTCTCAGGGGGCAAAGTAAACAATGTCAGACTTGTGTGATTTCACCAATCAATCCATTTAAAAACAAAGGCTATGGTTTATGTAATAATTGCCCTATCTTGTTCCATTTAAGTGCAGCCATATCCTTACCACCTAGCATCTGTGCATATTGTCTTGTTAATAATAGTTTTTTTTTTCATCTAAGTTCCTGAGTCTTCCTTTTTTTCCCCTCCCCTCTTTTGAGAGTGGGTGGCTGCTATGTCAACTCTGAATTCCCCTCTTGCTGAAGTACAGTCTTTTTCAAACAATTGTATTGCTAATATTTAGACCTCTGTAATGTTTGCGTCCATTACTTTCAGTACCTATCAAGGAAGAGATTTAGCAATGGAAATGTGCAATGGCAGCACTATGGTTAGGCATTTTCTCTACCCTGCTCCAAACACAGATACTTTCAAGGATGCATTGCTTGTCTTCTTCAGACTTTTAGGTTTATCTTTCCCAGTGTACCAGAGTCTTCAAAATGAACTACTGTAAATCTATTCCAAAATCTCTAACCCAGCTGGCTGCTACCTGGATTTCTCCTTACGTGTCTGCTCAACTTGTCTTAGAACTTTTGTTTGGTTTTGCTTGAGTTGGGTTAATAAGTTGACTGCATCTGATTTCACTTCTTATCAGCATTGCAGTTCACCCTGTCTCAGCTGGAGCAATATCTGCTAACATAGGTATTAAGGCAAACGCTGCAAGTTTATTAAATAGAATGTAATTGTATAAGCCATATTTTGATACGTGTAAACTGACACAGCCCGGAAAATTAGAGGTATATTTTGAAGCAGCCAAGTATGCATATACTTGGGGTTTTTCCACAACTGAGACACAGAAGTGAGAAGTCATGAGTCTTTTTGTTGGTAGGATTTTGACGGGATACATGAAGATTTAGTCAGTCTATTCCCTTGGATTTAAATGAGACTTGTGACTAACAGTTGTCCTTTGGTGCTGCAGACCGAGGGGATTGGTCATTGCTAGGTCTAGTTTTATAGAATTAATTAAAACTTGTCTTAAATTTTGCCTTTTCATTGTTTTATTCTTACTGTGTTGGACAAGAGCAGTTGGCAACCAACCTGTTTGTAGGGTAGTGTTTGAACTTGGTGTTACCACATATATTTCAGACTTGATTTGGATTTGTAATGCTAGAGGAGCAGGTTTAATGTCTTGGTAACTGACATAGCCCTTAGGTCTGTAGGCTGCTTTTGTTGCTTTGTACTGTGAACCCTTGGCCTGAACTACGGCTTCAGGCAGGCATAGCAGGTAAAGCTGACAATTTTTTTCCTCTGCAGAGCTTTTGTTGGGCCCATGATCATCTTTTTTGCAAGGTTCTTGCTCTTGGCATTCTTCTGTATCATCTTTGCTGTTTACTGTGTTTATAAGTCACTGGGAGATGAGAGCAAGGCAGTCTGGGTCACAGTGCTGGCAACATGGTGACATTGTGTTCAGTGTCACTCCTTGATCCAGTCTTTAGGTGTAGGTCTCATCTCACCTCTCTTTGTCTTGAAGTGCCCGTTTGGCTCCTGCTCAACAGGCAGCTGGAAGAGGCATGACAGGCGTCTCCTTGATAGGCTTTAGGGAGTCTTCAGGAGGAAAAGGAGTAGCAGAGCCACCTTATTGAGTCAGCTTTGTTGTCCGTTTTTTGTTAGGAAATTAGAGAATTAAAGGATCCTTTTGGCTGCTTTTCAGGGGCAGGGTTAGGAAAGTGGAATTTCTTTTTAGTATCTGGTGCAGCAAGTAAAAGTATCCCTTGATACTGATTGTACAGCATAGATCATGGGCTTCATATATTGAGTGTGTCAGTTACTTTCAGGCTGGATAGTAAAATAGCATTACAATTAGATTCAGGGATTTATCTAAAGACGTCTAGATATTTCTTGTCAGTCAGTTCTTCATTACGATTCAGTTGCTCAAGATAATGACCTCTGTAGACTGAATCAACTTTAATGAGTATTTGGGTGTATCTTACAGTCCTGTTATATTGAAGGATACTTCTTTCCTTCTCCAGTTGTTTAGAGTTACAGCTGTGGGGAGCTCATAGTGGGAAATGTAATAGTAAGGTCCAGTATTTCTAGAGCTTTCATTTCCTTTTGTCAATCCAGACCCTTGACTTTGAAAGCAAATTTTTGTCTAGGGTCATCAGTAATTACTGCAAAATATATGGAGAAAGCTGGAGGAGGCTTCAAAAGCACTAAAAAATTCTTCAGTGGGCAGTTGCAGAAAGACCCAGATGATTTGAGAATATGATGTGGTTTGCTTTAGAAATAATTTGACACAATAATTATTAATCAAGGAAGCTGAGGAGCTTTTAGACTGTCAAACAGGATTCTAACTAAATATTGAACCTGGTTATAGACTACCATCCACTATAGCCCACTAACTACTTTTTCAGCTTTTTGATCTCTTGAGTATCTCTTTTCTTGTAGGTATGATGAATATTGAAAGTTATGTATTCCTCAGGTGGAACATCTGTAACATTATTTATATTGCTTGAATAGTTCAAGATTCTTTCTTTAACGATAGCACATTGTAAAAGCAACACAAAACATGAGATAATGTGTATTTGAAGCACTGCCTGGGATAGTTGCCTGTACCGTGATTCCTTCCTCTTTCTGCTTGTCGCTTCATGAGTCATTGTTCTCTGCCCACTAATGAACTGGTCTGTCTCTTTGTCAGTCCTCCAGACCATCTGCTTCAGAGAGGACCGAAACAGCAAGCACAGAAGGGATCTTCCTACCCTCATCCCTGGGTCCCAGGCTGATGAAATCAGCTAGGAAAATTAACCTTGCTCCTGGCTGGTGCACCCAGCCTGATGACTAGCTCCACTCCAACTAAAATGGAACTCTGGGACATGTTAGGTGTGTGTGTGCGCATAGTCGTTTGTGTGGGTGAGCCTAAAGATAGCTGAAAGAAGATGACTAGAAAGAGCTTGCAGCATAGCCCAGGAGGCTGCTTTGTCCTGCACTTGGCATTCAATTCCTGTTCTTCTCTTGCATGGTTTGGAATGATTGTTTGTACTAGAATTAGGACATATTTCACATGAGTCAGACTTGTAACATGACACTTTTGAAGGCTTTCCCAGTACAACCTAAGTGCCAACACTGTGATGATTCCTTATGTTATGACCCGAGACAGTCATGTCAGAAACCTCACAAGTAGCTTTGTCTTTGGTGGTGATGGTGATGTTTCTGACTTGCAAATACGTATTTTCAAAACCACTTCAATTAAAGTTTTTTCTTTCAATTTATGAGGTTCTCTGAAGACTTTACTTCCAGCATCTTGAAGAGTGAAGGTCAAATGTGTTTTCCAAAAAATCTAGAAAATATTGGTATATAGAATGATCAGATAACGTCCACCTCCTTATATGCCTCTCTGCCACTGTCTGCTTGCTGTTATCACCTTTATATCTTATTTCAGAAAAAAGGAAAAGCAATAGCAGAAGTTCTGCAAGAGAAGATTCACTGCTGATCTGATGTTACAGGAGAATGTGCAGCCTGCAAAATTAATTCTAACTACTCTATCAATCCTTGATCTTACATACAAAATCTCTGCTGTTGGTCTTGCAGTTGACTAATTTAAAAGCTTTCTTTAATTAGATTCCTCCTCTCCCAATTTCTGTTCCTAAAAGGAACTGAGATGGACTTTTTCAGTAAACAACTTTAGCCATGTAAAAGTTTATATTGTCATTCATTCACACTAATGTTTTAATCACTGAGCTATTTTCCTTTGTTTATACTGCATTTAATATTTATGAAAAGAAGGAGTAGAAAAATCCTGTCATCTTTTCTTTGTCAATTACTGACTGTGCTGGTTTATAGCTTTCCTTCCAGAATCAAGAAGAAAACAACTGCTTAATTATATTTTATTCTCAGTGAAAATCAAATCTTTGACTGAGCTGTCCATTTTAATATGTTTTACTAGAGCTGCAAGAGGTCAAGTTTAAAAATGGACATCTATGACTCCTGCCTTGGAAGAATCTACATTTGCTATGCAGGGTTTTGCAAATATACAGGCTTTTCTCTACACTGTTTCAGAAGTTTACCCTGTGTCTATTAATTTTTTAACAATATTTTTAATACAGTACTATTCTTAAGATCAGTGGTGTCTGTTCTGTAAAGAAAAGATAGAAACTGTACCTATCGTGGTAGAACCCCCAGGTTATTTTGAATAATGGCCTGGGCATGACAATCTTGACTGCACATATAGGAGGTGACTGCAGATGGAGGTCTTTTATTACTCATGTGAGGCACAGCATGAGTCTGTGGTTGTTTCTGCTCACTCAGTGCTTTGTCTGAGTAGGGATTTGAAAGACATGCTTGTACAAAAAATTATGAGAATTTTCTGCAGAGCACTTTTGAGTTTAGGTTGCTATTAAAAATAGTTTGAAGTTTGAAGTACTGCTGAATCAAGTATTGTAATGTGTTTTGACTTCATAAAAATTGAGATCATCTTGAGTGATCACAAGGTTTTACAGATAACTGAAATATGTCTGAGACCTGCCTTAAACAAGCTACACATTTTTTTTAGTTGATTTTTCCTTCTCAGTAGTCATTTTGATTTTATATGCCACAATACAGAATTAAATGCAGGATAGCTTCATGCCTACTTGCCTATGTCAACTTCACCTAAGCTATATTTGAAATTTAGTGATCTTGCTGCATATTCAAAATATTGAAGTATTTTCCCTAGCACCAGATGTTCTAACATGTAGTGTGAATGTGGATAATGGTGGTAGTATCCAGGAGTACAATGAGACTCACTAAAACAGAGGGTCGCTGAATAACTCAGCTTGCTCTGCTCTGTTTGTAGCTTGAAGAAAACCAGTGGGGCTGAAAAGCTGGAAATTAAAGTTGCAGTTGCCTTACCAGTAAGGGTAACTCACTGAAGACAGCCTGCAAAAATAAAAGGGTAGTCAACAAAGGGAGAAACGCTATTTCTGAAATGGTCTAGGAAGAAGAGAGGAGAAATGTGTTTTGGAGATACACCCCAAAACTGTTCTTTTCAAACCTTGGCTCTGTCTGCATTAGATGAAAGCTTGCTGCTAGTTTGCTGTTCATCACATAAGGTACATTGAAGATGTACGTGTTCCAGTACTCTGCTGTGATTTTAAGCTTAAGCTTTGATTCATCCTCTAAGCCATGGATCTTTCTCTAGTGTTTTGAACAAAATTACTGTCAGATGTTTCTCCTTTCAGACAAGCTCTGACCACCATTTCCTTCATTTAATTTATCGTAACTGTAACCACGCTTCCTAAACTTCTTGACTGGATTATTGCAGCACTTCATAACTGGTTACCCAGTAAATTTCACTGAAAGTTCAGACAGTACAAAAAAAAAAACAAAGGACTGCCCATTTGTTGGCCAAAAAGGTACTGGTTCTTCAATGCAGATTCATCTGTTTTCCCTTTGCAGTTCAAAGTGATGGCATTACACACTTGGAGTCTCTAGTGAAACTCCATAGAAAATATTTGCATTCTTCAATCTGAAAACTTCAACTCTATCTAAATGTGAAGGCTTTAGGGATTTCAGTGGTTTAATTGCAGAAACTTCTTCTGCAGAAAGTAGATACTTTTTTCTCAAAAAATCTTGTTAGTTGAAGTATAATCTTCCTGGGGCAACTTTCAAGCATCCGTAATGCCAAGATTCAAGAGAATGGAAATTTAAAGATTTGGTATTAATTTCTTCCACTGGCCCATCAGAGCTTGGAAAGTGCTGGCTTAAACCTAGTAGTCATTAATATACCCTTAGGGTGGAAGAGCTGCTCTGTCATCAGGCTTTGCTTTTAATTCAGTAGTATTTCACAGGGAGAGTTAGACTGCAGGCAGGGCGAATTGATTTCTCAGAGTTTGATGCATAAAAGTTTCTGAATTTAGATTGGTTTCTGTGCTGGGGGGGTTGGTACTAAACATCCTCAGTCACCATCTGTGAGGTATGGAGGTGTATTGGTTCAGCACTGGTTCAAACTATTACACGTTGTTTATAAAAGTAGATGCTGGCATTTAGTTCAATTTTTACTGCTTTTTGACAAATCTCTAGTTAATCACATGGAGAAGTTGTGTATAAGGAAGAAAGGCATTTGCTAATAAAAACCAGGCCTTGATGGTAGCCCCTTCCAGGGTAAAGATCTTTTTCTATTATTGTCAACACTGTGCAGTGAAAAATCAGTCTCTTTACATCTCTGCATAAATAAATACCCAGATTGGGAGTAATAGGATGGGATTGTCTAATTTGCCTGTTCTTTTGGGGGCTTTTCAGTATCACATAAAATGTAATTTTGCTCTATGCTCTAATTCTTTTTCTATATCCCTAGGAGAAAGGTGTGATGACTTTATCTAGTGCTCTACCTTCTTTTTTTTTTACCAAAAAAAAAAAAAAAAAAAAAGCTAAATACACATAGTCTACTCAAACAACTTGTAGAGATTATATTCAACAGTAAGTGGGAGATATTCATCAGTCTTATACTTTCTTCCTTTCTTATTTTCAGATGTATATCACCAACACAGTAAAAGCCAAAGGAACAAGGCTTGCAAAACCTGTTCTGTGTTTGGGCTTAATGTGCTTGGCTTTCCTTACTGGAATCAACAGAGTAGCAGAGTATCGAAATCACTGGTCAGATGTAATAGCAGGATTTATAATTGGAATATCTATAGCAGTATTTTTGGTAAGTGTATATCTGTGTCACTTCTGTTTGAAAAAAATCGGTGTATAACTTTGTATCTCATAAAATACTGGTAGCCTTGACTTTTCAGATAACTAAAAGACAAGAGGTGTTTCTAAATTCTATTTTTAAATAATTTTCCTTAGTTTTACAGTCAGAAATGTGAAGTCAAGAAAGGACTTATCAGATGATCTATTTTGACTGACTTATATGCCAGGTTGTATCATTTCAATCAATAATTTTTGCATCAAGCCCCACTTTAAGCAAGTGCATATCCTTTAGAATAACATCTAGTTATGATCTCATGTATGAAGTATGAAATTCAGTATAGTGATACTTACAGCGATGAGAGAATAAGTAGCATTTCTTTTCCGGCTTCAAGGTAACCCTATTTAATTTCTTTAATGCCAATTCAGGTTTACATTGAAATTTTATGATATTCTGTATCAAAAAAAATCCTTGTTTAGCCTTTTCCTTTTCTGGAACTGTGTTCCAAAACCAGATCATTATGTCACAGTTCACAATGATTAATGTCTGTGTCAGAAAGCTACTGCTAATCTATTAATAACCTTCACTGATAACTTCAGTGCAAGACTATGGCATAGAATAGTCACTGCTGTTTACTGCCCGCAAGTTTGTCTGCCTGGCAGCTTGTAATAGTACTAAATACACCTTTGAATTTTTTCCCCATGAAAACACTTCTGAGCTTGATTCTTGGATCTCAAGGTCTTGATCTCAAGATCTTGGATCTGAAGACTTGGCTTGTCTGAGAATGCTCACAGGGATGACTGAGGTGGAGGTTTTCACTCCTTTGAGAAATGTGAGGGCAGCTGTAGGTCTCCTTTAAAATATACCTGCTTGCACTTTCAAATGTTCCCTTCCACACAAGATGTCCAGGAGTTATATTTGGTTGTTCATTTTTAAGAAGTTTTTCCATTCTGTTTGTGCCCTTAAAGTCATAAAAGAGAACAGGATACCAAAGAAATCTGTCCCAGCACTTTTTCTTGTATTTTGTGATGTATATTGCATAAAGTCCTTTGGAGTAGCATGACATCAAATTTAGTTCTGTTTTGAAGAAAATATAATGGGCAAACATCACTAATTCGGACACCTAGCCGTGCAGCAGAAACGATAACAAACAGGTATATATCACATTCCTAAATCCTTGTGTGAGAGTCACTGCTGCCCTGAGCATGTTTGGAATTTAGTTCAAAGTTGGGGATGATCCTTGCCTTCTTGTTCTCCCTTTCTCACTCTGCATTTAAGAAAGTCTTTGCTGGTCAAAACTTAGATGGTACTGGCCTTCATAGGAATTTAAGGTTATTGCCATATTCTGCTGCATGTGCGCTGGGCATCTATTCATGACATTGCTAATAATTGATACTCTATTATTCAGTTTCAGTAATGGATTTACTTTTAGATAAGAGGCTTTTTTAGTTCTCAGATGATGCATGTAACAGTACGTTGGTTCAAAATCTTTGGTCTTGAAATATTAATTAAGGATTTTCTGTAAAACATGAACTTCACATTTCTGCGTTTCTGCTGTAAGCTGTGACTAAAGCTGGTGTCAGTTCTGTCTAATTGTGGATGTCAGGATCAAAGCTTAAAAAATGAGTTGTTCCTTAGCTATTCTATTTATCTTCTAATCCCTTTTAGGTTGTTTGTGTGGTAAATAACTTCAGAGGACGTCAGCCAGAACATGAACATTCTCATATGGATAATCTGGCCCAGATGCCCATGATCAGCATACCCCGAGTAGAAAGCCCATTAGAAAAGGTAATGTCTGACTTTTTAAAAAACAATTAAATAAAACTTAGCTTTCCTGGAAGGATGATCCCAAACTGTCTTGACAAGAGTGCCAAGGTAATTGGATTTAAAGTAAGGAGACATAGCAATGAAGGAGAAACAAGGGAAGAATTAATTCAGACACTCCTTGGGAGATTCTTCATGTCATCTCCAAGAACAACAGCTACAAATCAGTCCTGTTTACTGCTGTAGCCACTGCTAAGTCCATGGAGTCAGGCTGAGTAGATCTGAGGCCCTCTTTCCTTGTGTTACTCAAGTAAGTTTGATTAACACTTTGCCTGAGAATCCAGAGAGTTTGCAGTGCTTAGAAAGAAAATCTAACTCCTGTGCCCAAGGGGTTATGCAATTCAGGTACGAGTGGCATTTATCCTATTTTTTCGTGTTATGTCTTCAGGCTAGTGTAGAGCATGGATCAGCTGTGGAGCTTTTCTCGTCAGACACATGCTAGCCCCAAGGGTGGCACTCACTTGGAAACGCTGGGGATCTGATGCCTGTGCTAGCAGGGCAAACAACTTAATGAATGTGATAATAATAGAGTAACATGGGTCATACAGTAACTGCACAAAGGCCATGATCACTTGCCAAAGCAAATGGGGTTTTGGACTAGGACATGCTAGTGATAGTCCCCTGGGTATGCCAATACTTTTTTCATGAGTAAGTGTCATAATGTGTTTAAAATTTTAGTTTCCTGTAATAAAAAATTTATCGTTTTTGAAGGTGATGTTGTACTATGTACACAGAATGTTAAATAAGATTATGTCTGAACAATGTTATGAGCAAGCAAGCACTGAAATAGATAACATAGCCAAATACACAAAACATTTTAGGCATTTTTTACCAGTGGGAACATTTGAACTACTAATACAAAGTTTGAAAGCCATTTTACTTTTTCTAATGACTTTATCTGTCATTATTTGTTAAAATCTCTTGTGTCATGGACATGCTAGAAGATAGTAAACATTTCTACAGTGGGTACGGCACCAACAGTATGTTTCTATAGCATTCTTTTAAATCCAAATTACTCTTGATATTGTTTCATATTAAACATAAGAAGAAATATTTTTAACCACTTCCCAGTCTAAGTCACTTGGAGGTGGTGGAAATTGTCCTTTAGTAAGAATTGCTGCCATCCTTGAGTTTGTTATTCCTTTCGTTGAAGAGATTTCTTTTCAGAATGATCTAACGTGCCTTTTTGAACCAAATGTGTCTAAGCTACTTCTGCTGATTTCTTGTCATAAGGAGGCCAGAGTCTCATTTGCTTGAACAAGCATTTAGATGATGAATGTATATCTTCAAAATAATCCATTCAGTAAACTTCCTGTAAAATGTCAAAACAAAACAAGATGTCAGTTGGCCTAGGACATACCACATTAATAAGAGCATGTCTTATTTATGCGCTAGGCTCTACGGCAATAGAAGACATTTCTGCAGCTCAAAAGCCATTCTAGGTAATAAATGTATATTCTCCGGCTGTTGAAATTTTAATTTTTTTTCTGGGAATAAAGACCTCATCTTCACTTAATGTTTCTACCTGATTTGACACGCTCCCACTCATGATGAACAATGTTCTCTTCCTGAGACTTGGCCCAGGCAAGATTGAGATATTGTGGGGAAAGCTATGGAAGAGTGTGGCAGGAGTAATGTTTCCTCTGCTTGAGGATGACCTCTACCATTTGTGAACTGCCCAGGACTCTTATATGGATGAGCTGCTTTCCTTCTGAACCCATATTCCTATGTCAGCAAAGGGTAGCTCTTTGCTGTCATGGAACTCCTCTCTAGACAAATAAATTGGGGACTGTCCATAGGATGTTACTCTTGGTGTGATCTCAGTGTATGGGTTCATCTTCGTCTATGTTGCAAAGTCTTTCTCTTTTCCAGACAGAGAGGATGAGATGGGAGGATGATAATGTGGAGACTTTGCTATTTATTCGGAAATGCTTTCTTCTGCTTCTACTCTCAGAAAGTTTAAATTTGAATTAGCAAATAATTGGCGAAAAAGTTACTTACATGTGAGAGCTTTAGGTGTTGAGTTTTTGTAGATTTTTTCCTTTTTTTTCTTCAATGTTTAGACTAAAGCTTTAGAAAGACAGAAGCCAGACCCTGTTAAATAAAAGACACCAAGAATAATACTTATGTGGAACTAAGGTCTAAATTGAGCCATCTCAATTAACTACCATTGCAACAAGATTTATTAGCTTGGCCTTTGCTTTTTAACTCCCTTCTTATTTTACATCCTTTGTTCCCCTCTGGAGAGAGAGGGGTGCTAAATAATTTGTGTGCTACTTGCTTTGCCTACTTCAGCCACATGCAAGTTACTTTTCACTACATTTCAGTTAGGGCTGTTCCAGTTCCATATTCTGAATGCACATACATTTACATTTGGCTTACTTTAAATCTGTTTTTCTTTATTGTCAGTCTACAAACTCCTGTGCCAGTATTAGAGACAGCTTACTGTCAGAAATTAGCTACTAAGGGTAGCACAAACCCTGACTGGCTGAAATTATCATGGACTAAGGCAGTGCTAGCATGAAGCAATGCAACTCAAAGATGATGTCTTAAAGAATGACTTCATTAGAGATGCCTACCAGATGGGATCTCAGTCGTTGCAATTTTGTTAAATTTACCTGTAAATGAATAAGCACACGGTGCATCACACAGACCTGGAAGCACTTTATTTTTGTGTTTCCAGATCTGCTACTTGCTATTCCAGTGCTTTTTCCTGCTGGAGAACAAATGCTCTTGGCATGCTTGGCATGCTCTCCGTGCTGCCACTGTCTGAGTTCTGGTGGAGGTCAAGAGCTACATTTGAAGTGCACTTAAGTAGGAACATGTGTTCTTGTAATATTCTGAATTGAGCCACTGCTGGTTAATGACAAGGGTAGGTCACTGTTTGCATGACACTTCTGTTTAATTGTGGTGCATGCAGATGATTAAGTTGTTCTGCACAGGTACACTTCTAATGCACTCAAGCTGTAGCTGCAGAGTGTCTCCTTGAAGAATCCTTGCCAGAGCTGGCTCAGCAATGCAGACTTATTGCTTTCACCTTAACTACATTCATCCTCAGAATTAATGAAAAGAATGAAAGCCAAGAAACCTCATCACTCACCCATCTGCTCCTTTTTCTCTCCCATCTTTGACCCTCTTCATCTCTTACAAGACGATTTGTGTTTCAGTTAGCTGGCATTCTCCTAAAGAAAAGAGGATTTCTTCCTACCACAGCCAACGTTAGAGACTCCTGTTCTTTTGCAAGAATTACTGGGAAATACGGATGTTATGGGTGGTACCTACCTGGAGGAGTTTAAAGTTCAGCTTCAATCAGTGCAGTCACAAACTATTTTTTCTGTTTCAGGGGAGACTGACATTATTTCATGCTAAAGTCACATCGTGATGTTGAGTGGATGGTTGGACTTGATGATCTTAAAGGTCTTCTCCAACCTTAATGATTCAGTGATTCTGTGAAATTGGCCAGGACTTACAGAGGGCTGGTACCTGTCTTGTAGTAGCTGCTGACTCTCCTAGCCTTTTTGTTTTTTTTTTTTTTAAATAAGTATTCTAGCTTTGAAAAAATCAAATACAAAGGGAACATGAAGCATTTTAGGACTAATTGAGGCAGTAGATAGAATACTGAGGTAAGAAGTTTTAGAAGGAAGTGTTGGGTTGGGAGAGGCACTATGGTTCATCTCCTGTGGTATGAGATGATTACTGTGTCTGATCATCAGTGCTTTCTGTAGCTGTTCAATATTACATATTTGCACAGCGGGTTCTTTGCAGTGCTCTGCCTGACAGCTAAGCTTCATTTATCCCCAGAGTCTCTGCCCAGCATTCCTTCATAATGCTACTTCATGTCAGCAGTGCCCAAACCACGTTCCCAAACACAGTCACTGTTCCTTGTTACAATGAGGTTTCTTATACTCCGTCACAGCATGGCTGTGAACTAAAACCAGATAGTTTAGGGTCTCTCTGTGTCTCAGCCATTTCTAAGTTCTAATGGTGATAAGTATTTGGAATTCCACTCTCATTCCTTGTTTCCTTTCACAATTGCTAGTGACTATCAGGGTTAATTGTCTCAAAGATGTTGTTGAGTTTGACACTATAATTCTTGTTCTACTGCGTATGTGCCAAAGGCAATGGTGGTGATAAAAGATCTTAGCAATAGTTAGTATAGATATTGCAATGGATTCTGCTAGTATTTTAAGACTGGGGAAGCTTTCCCCTTCAGTTTTTAAGGCATGATGTTTTTTCTCTTTACTCCATCTTGATTATTCACAAGACGTAGAACAGCTTCTTCACAGTGTCAGAAAAGGGTATTTTTAATTTTAATTCTCAGTGTTACTGCTTTTTCCTTGGTCTTAAGCATTTTGGTACTAAGAAGTCTTTCATTGCCATGTGCACTTACATACACGCAGCGTGGCCTAGGGAGTCTGGTCTGGTCCCTGGGGCTCTCCAGGGACACTGATCGCTTATCACTGAGCTTACATGCTAAAAGCAAAACACAAAGATGTTTTAGTTCATCATTGTATGGGCAAATGGGGGAGAGGGTTTCTGTCTATTTCTGTTGCTTCAGAATATTTTAGATGAGAAGTATCCAAATACTGTTGTGCTTGATTTCCAAAAGTGTATGTAGGTACCCATACAGTGTTTTAGTACAATGTATGTGTCTCCAGGAGGGCTTGACTAGAGCCCATGTGCTTACATTAGCTTATAGGCAGGTTTTCATATTTCTGTTGTCATAATGGTTCTCTCTTAATAATATGGTGTGTTAAAGGAGATATAATACAACATTGTTTCACACACAGAAGCACATACCCAGGAGAGGCAGCTTATAGAAGACCAGTTTTGTTTCAATGTCAAGCATTTGAATTTGCATTCATGTCCTAGTCTTCTGCTTAAATCTTCTTCTGGGGGGTTGTACAAGAATTATTTCTGCTTGAATGCAAACTGTGATAACCACATCTAATGTTCAAATAAAATAATACTTAAACATAGGAAATGGAACAATATATTCAGTGTGACCTCATCAAATATACATGTTGTAGGTGTTACAGAGTCAAGGTATTAGTAACAATCAAGAAGATCCTTTGCAACGAAACTCCCTCAAAGCATGCATATTTAGGTTCTTCTCCTGGATATCGGGAATGGACCACCTTGAACATCTTCACATAAGGCAATAAACGCATGTGCGCAAAAGCGCACATGAGTGTGCGTGGAATTGAAGCAAAGGCATATGCAGTGTGGCGGCAGCATTCTGTGCAGGTCTGCAACGTTTTAAATGGGGACTTTCACCTGAACTCATTCTTTTATCTAAAAATGTGATTCATCTAGTAAAACCATAAAATATATTTTGCTGACCCAGAAAATGGTATGATAACATTATTGTTATTGTATGATAAATTATCATTTGCCTGAACTACTACAGTATTATTTTTCTATTTCTTTTAACAAACTCTACTGTGTGAAGGACTACAAACAATTTTTCAAATTCCTGTTTTCAAAAATGGAAAAATCTGGTTTAGGATGATGACTATTTTTGAATATTTCTAATGGTATTCATGAAAGCAGAACAAAAAAAAATTCAGGTAAAAAATACTTAGTCTATATAATGAAAACTGCAAACCACAAAAAAATTGTAATGGATTTCTTTTCAATGCTTTAACATTATAGAATCACTTACCAACAGAAATTAAAATCTTAACAGAAGATACACAGGTATGGATTGTTTCCCCCACAGAAACCTGCACTCAAGGCTTAGCCTTTAGCTTTCATTTTTCTGTTAGTGGTGTGAGAGCACGGTTATGAAGCATGCTTTGTCCATGTGGTACTGACACCAGGCTGATACTGCCAATTTAGAATGAATAATACAAAAGCTGGCATGTCTGTGAAACTGCTGCTGTTGAGCAGACCCTCAGCGTAGTCTAATTCTTTTGAGTACTGTAGGGCAAATAATTTCCCATGGAGTTGGAGAAGCTGAGGTCTTGTGCATGGTTTTCTACTTGTCTCCTGCATCTGCATGAATCTGTTTGCTGACAGTGGTTAGTATCTCACACTGAACTTTGTCACAGTAAATCTAGGCAGAAGTAAAAGAGCATAGTAAGAGAGTTGAAATGCAGTTGTTCAAGAGACATGCTGCTTGTTTGGGTTTTTTTCTGTAAAAAGTCTCAGCAAGGCTTTTGTGGTTCTGCCTGAGACTGAATACATTTGAAAAAGCATGAATACACAGACAGTTGCATGAATCTGTATCAGTGGTTCTTGCCATCAGCAAGTGATTAATTCTGACCTAGTTATGCATCACCCTGCTGAGTCTGTTGGAAATTGACACGTCTTCACTATCTTCACTAGGGTCCAAATCAATAGCTCCACGATCGGTAGCTTAGCAGTTCTCTCTGAGAGTTTATTGGGGAAGGGGAATTTCATTCTGTGTTATATCCCATGCTTTGCATGTCCTTCCAAGGATGGTGACCTGCTCATTTTGGAAGTAGAGCTGGCAGGAGTGTGAACCACATTCTCCTTTCTTAAGTATCAGTTATCCAGTCCTGAATTAATGCCACATGAAAGAGCATTTGGTTCTCTTCATCAGACACTAATGTGTGTCACTTGGAGAAAGAGAGCATGTATCAGGACTTGAAAGAAATGATTAAAATAAATAACGAGGATTTTTTTTTAATCTAATTCCTCATTTTTAAGCCATCTTAGTTATCAACCAAGTGAATGATTTTAGACTGATGCTAGTTTAATTTGACAGCATAATTTTCAGATCTATGTAAGGAAAAATAAAATACTGTGAAGAAAATGTCATAAGAGCCTCAGAGCAACTCTAGAGTCATTGAGGATTGAGGTTGCCCAATGTATCTTCTTTCCTGTACTGAAAGCAAAGATGGTCAGCCAACTAAAATGCTTTGAAATGTTAATGTTTTGTTTTCTAATTAGGAACTCTAATTTTTCTTTTCTTCTGCAGAATCAAAATCTGGAAACAATGACGTTTGCTAATGTTTTTCACTGAAAACATTTTCACAGAAAGTTGCACACTGATTCTTTTTTTTCCTAATGCTTTCTAAAAAATTTGCAGTCTATGCTTTAATCATTGTTACTTATTTAAAATATATTCATTCTATTTTGGAGAAGAATGTACACAGATGCTTACAATTTGTTGGTGTTCTCTTATGAAAGCTGTCATAAAAATAGAGAAGAACATTGCTAGAGCTAAAAAGCCTATTATAGGGGAGGGGGAAGAGACCTCCTCCTCCTGGACATGGTGCAGTTATGGCATAGTGAGAGAGAGAGCAAAGCTGCTAGCCTTGTTTGGCGAGTGGGGAATAAGAGGCATAAGAGGCATGAGACAGGAGAGCTGTCCTGTGCTCCCACTCAGGGTACTTCTAAATTCCTTTCTGTAATGTGAAAATCAAAGATCCCTACCTGCCTCCCCTGATAGACAAATATCCAGACAGTTTAAAGAACAGAAATACAAACTTCTGTGGTGGCCACTGCTTCTCTCCAGCACTTTCTGTGGGGTGTGATAAGGGATTTTCTGAAGGACTTTGAACAAAGCAAAAAGTGGGAGATCTATCCCACTCTCCATGAGTTATCTACATTCTCCCTCCTTGTCAGCTTACACCTCCTCTCTTCTGACATTGGTCTGCTCCAGGAGGGGAGGTGATGGAAGAAATATGCAGTGCTTTGCGTGGTATTATTTCCCTCTCTGCACTTTTGTGCTGGGGAACAAAGACGTAGCTTACCATCAAGATTCTCTTTATTAATTTTACACATATAGAAAATGATGGCAGTCAGGGGTACTGTGTGCCTAATGAGAATGTACAGTTCCTTTGGATCCTGCACATCACTGTGCAGTTGAGTCTTCACCTACCAAATATTTGCAGAGGCACTTGCTTAGGTTAGAGCATGAAAAAGTAGCAAAGCTCTTTGGGATGCTGCAGTTAAACTGTATGGAGTCACACATAGTATATTCATATTCTGATACACAGCTTCATGTTCGTAAGAATCGTCCCGTTGAAGGAAAGAGGACAATAACATTGCAAGTGAAGAGCACACTGTAGTGATTCTGAAAAATAAACTTTGAATATGAGATCAACTGCTGAATGCAATTTTGTTGTAGCATTTCGCTACTTGATTCTGTGCCATTGAGCTCATGGGGAGCAATTAATCTTTTAAAAAATGCGACACTGAAATTGTATTAACACCAAAATAGAATAATCTGTCAGAAACTGTCATTTTCATTTCTAGGAATTTTGATTTAAATTGTGAATAAGGTAAGAGTACAGCTAACCCAATTATTCACATTGTTACTTCATCTTAAAAACCCCATCTAAAACTAAAATATTGTAGAACCATCGCATCTAATTACTTTGTTCAGCACACTTACATATCCAGTCTTTCAGCAGTTAACAAAGAATTGCTATGGGAGTGAGTGAGAGCACTGCAGTGAAAGCCAGTTTTACTTACATCATCCTGCAATAGTCTCCAAGCATAAGGCTGGCCCTAAAGCACAAGAGGCAAAAATGTTCACAATGGCGACTGATATCTATCTGTGTGGTTTCTGGGTTTTTATCTGTTTGTCTTTCCTTTAACTCGTAGAACCACATCACGGCCTTTGCAGAAGTCACATGATGTTGATGCTGATGTATATTCACTCCATTGGACTTCATCTCTTTTCACAGCCCACACACAATCAGTGTATCAAAAATAAGAAATTTTTAGAAGTCCTATTTCTGACTTGATTTTTACGTCAATAAAATGATACCAACATTTTGAAGAATTCTTAAATATTAGAACGTCGCTTTACTTTCTAGCAAAAATATTAACTGTTTACTTTTTGATGGAATGGGACAAACTGAACACTAATTATATTTATCTGACAATACCCTCTATTTTGACTTCTCATTGTTTTTAATGGTTCATGTACCTATTCCAACAGTACATCATATTTTGATTTAACTTTGATTTTTAAAATCTACATTTTTAATTCAGCATGAACTTGTTTCCATTTGAGGCGATTTCAGTGTATAAAAACTAGACAAATATTACCTTCTGTATGAAAATGCTGTTTGCACATTGTATTACGCTGTATTCCATGTAAGATATCATTCAAACAGTACGTTATATGTAAGACTGGTGCTTCTGCTTTTGAAGAGAAAAAAAAAAATGCCAATTTTTACTGTAATAAGTATTGTATCATAATGAAAAGTTTATTTATTTGGATATTTTCCTGACATAATTGTAGTTGAATTGTTGTTTTGTAGTTCTTGAATGTCTTGGATGATATATATGTATCTAGGTTAAAAGAAATGAAAATAATATAGAAAGTTTGATCATTCATATATTCTTTATTACTAATGATATCCCATGAAAGGTTAAGGGCTCCATTCTTAGCTCAGCATATCTGATGGGAAGCTGTACTATTCATAAATCGTTTAAACAAATTATTCAAGGAAGCCTGCATCTTCTCATATTTGTTGTACACTCTGTTGTTATGCTGGGAGAATGGGTGCTAAGATAAGAGGGGGGTCACTGGCTTAGTGAGAAAAGAGAAAAGTGCATATGAGTTTCTACTCTGTTTTTATGTTGGAGCACTCATGGAAAAAACAAGATGGCTTCATTAATTTTTCTTCAGCCTCAGTGACCAGGACAGGCAGACTTTCCCTCTAAACTCTTTCTATCTCTGTCTGTGTTTCAGGGCCATATTCTTGCAAAAAAAATCCACCGTCAGTCTGTGCGGTGTTGACAAATGGATTTTTCCTCAACAGCAATGCTATCATAGCTCTGTTATCGCTGTGAATAATCAAATTGAGCCTCCCCTTCAAAAGACAGTAGTGAAGTTGTCCTATAAAAATTGAGCACCAAATGGATCTGAATACTGTAGATGCTGAAGATGCTCTTAACATCTGCCAGAAAGTTTTTTGTTCTTCTGGTAACAACTAATACAACGCTAGTACTGTGGGCACTGTTGAGAATAGTAGTGTTCAGTGCAGGCTGTTGAACATTATAGGCCTTAAATTTTCCATAATTCAGTATATTTCCTGTGCATTAATCATTGTCAGAAGATGTTTGAAACATAAGACTGTAGAATCAGGTATATATTTTCTATGATGAATTTTAATGCATTCCCGCATAGTCATCCAGGTAACACCTACTTTTTACTTTAACCTCTGCTTTCACTAAACTAAACTACCTAAATAGTGCTTGGCAAACAGGGCAAGGCCAAGTCATCTTTGAGTGCAATAGAGCATATCTCATGAAGTCGTGCTAAGCTGAGAATTGGAGAATAAAGAAATACATCAGGGGGGAGAAGAGTCCTAGAATAGAGCCCTTAGCTACAAGAACATTACTTAGGTGATTGAAAATCCACCTTTATTAGCTTATCAACAGTGTTTACAAAATAGTAGTAGGTCCAAAGTTTGTATTGCCATGTTAGGCACACTTAACCTTTCTCTTAGTCTAGCTATTTAGGGTCCAAGGTACTAATGATTTCTCTGTGTGCAGATTTGAATGAAATCTTCACTCATTTTTGCATGGTAGCAAACCTGCGTTTTTTATATCTGATTTATAAGATTACCAAGAGATTCTTTTATGTTAAAAGAGATGACTCTTTTTCAGTGTACTGTATATCATCAGCTTGTAACTGGTCTCTTTCTCTCAGGATCTTTCCCAGTCGAATATTTGGGTTAAATTTATCATATTATCTCTGTGAACCAGCAGTGAGAAAACAAAAAGAGAGACACTCTGCTGTATAATGTATTTTTAAATAAAATAATTTTTCATTCATATGTATTGTATTTTTTTTAGATATCTACTCTGGATATATTTTGGTTGATAGTGTACATATAATGAAAGTATGATTTTAAGTCAACTGCATTTGGTAATATATTTTCGCAATTAACCAGGAATCCCCACAGTTAACTACCTTCCCTTAGAGGTGGTTCTGGTGAAATTGAAAAGCAAGAGAGGAAGAGCTGTGCTGCAGAAGAGTCCACAGCCTGTTGGTGAAGGATTCTTCCCCAGGATGTGGACCGGCCAAGCTCCAGACCCTACTTTGATTGATTTTCAGAAGTGGCAAGAATTTACCTCTCCCACACCTGTACCTCTCTGCTGCCCTGGAGCTTGGGTCTTCGCTGTTCCGTTCTGGACTTGAAAGCGCTTTCAGTAGGAATGACTTGCCAAAACAAAAGTAAGTTGGCATTTCTGACTAAAATGGCTTTTTGGTGGTTGCTTTTTAAAAAATCCCAATAAGGAGCCTATGACAAACGAGCATCATCCCTCATTCAGATGATATTCTGGTGCAAAGTGATTCCTAAGGAAAATGCTGTGGTTGAACCATTTCGGTGATTTTGAATGCAGCTGGTTTTATGATTCTTGTGTACCTTTTCTGTATGTACTTCAGTGGAACAGCTCCACTCTATTTATAAATGAGATGTTTAAGAAGCATCTTTAATACTATATGCTGCTGTGTTCCTAAAAATGGAATTCATAAGGCATATGGGGACGCCAGCTGGGCTTGTATCCATATGATTTTAGATTCACTTATATGTATTCTGCTGTTAGTTCGTAATCATGAACTGCGTAAGACATACGGCGATAGCATCTGGGCTCACATCTCTTCAGCTTTTAAAAATGTTCGTTTTAACAATATGTATTAAAAGAGGATATTGTTGGTATTTTTCAGCTGCAATTTTCTTTGCTGTTTGCTGTTGCCTTCTAATGTTGTTGCTGGCCAAGATCACAGTGAGTGCAACAGTCCATTCGCACATTACGTTAGCAGGAAGCTTTTTATACTCCTCTGAAGTCTTAATTTTGGTATTTCTGAGGCTTGCCATGCAGAAAGCAGAGTGCACAACATTTTAGGAACAGATAACCTAAATCTGTTTTGATCACATACATCCCTGGCCATCTGCGTAGCCTTGGCCTTGGGGACACTCAGGAGTATTTGCAGGCGGAAGGGCAAGCAGACCTCCAGACCTCTCAGCCCTGCAGCACTTCCCTCCAAGCACACCAAGAGTATTTTCACCAGGTCTGCCTCTGACAGCTGACTCTACCCCAACACACCAGACTTCCCTGCTGTACACTAGCACTTTCCATCTGCACTCAAGTACCTGTGGGAAACTGGACAGATCAGGCAAGATACCACGCCCTCGCCCGGAAGTGTACTATGAGCACGACTGCAGCTGGAGCCAGCAGCTGCCCCGTTCTCACTTGGACAAGTGGAAAGCCAAATGAATGGGTACCTATCATGGCTTCAGCTTTTGGCCTTCCCCTCCACTTTCTAGGGCTTTTGGTTTTCAGGGACTTCCACAAAGGAAAGTAAAGGAAAACTTCACAGCCCTTCTGCCCACTTGAACCTCAGCTGCATGCCTAGGGTTGTGTAAGCTTTACTCTTGCTATTGGCCACCAGAGACTTTCCACTAAAACACAGTGTTGCCTTTTTGTCATCCTATCCTGTGTGAGAATGGCTGAAAAAACTCCTTAGCGTTTCCAGGCTTGACCTGATGTTCTGGGAGGAGGAAACTGTGAACAGCCCTGAAATACTCCTGTCAGGGTGGGAATTGGAAAACGTAATGTGACTGGGTGATAAGCCTGGTTGTTTCCTCAGCGCTCGCTGAGTTGCTATGCCAAGGTATGACTCTAATGGGTTTGCTTTTGATACTAAACTGCCTATATTTGCCTCATCATGAAGCCCCAGTCCACTTCCAACACAGAGGATTAGGTACTTGGTTCCGTGCTCAGTAATGGAGCTTGTTCTCTCTGTGTAGAGAATCCTAGGAAGCACAGCATATCCTGTACGAAACCTGTCGCCAGTGTCTGATGAACACCATCCAGACAAGTTGGTGATAAGATAGCCGTCATTAAGGCATGCTTCAGAGATGCTTAGCTCCCACTTACCTAAAATCTTATCATGATCCAGGCATGTTTGATGATCAGTCTAGCTGGAATCAATATAACCGGTTAGTGCCCAGGCTCTCCAACTGCTTTTCTTCTGAAGATGATGGTGACATCCAGTTCTCTGCCTGTCGTGTCCTTGAACTCAATTTTTTCCATTCCGGTTGTCAGCTCTGGATACTACATTGTGCTGTGAGATGTGATATTCATGAGGCATAAGGGGAGAGTGGCTGTGTTCATCAGCAGGTTATTTCAGATACGCTTACATGTCTTCTGCTGTTATCACTAGCTGTGTAAAACATTTGGAAGTAAGTTAATCTAATTGAATTGGACAGTTTAATTCTGAATAAAAGTATACACCCAGAGGTTTTATATGATTCTAACTAATGCGCAGCAGATCTCTAGCTAATTGAAATAAACCGTCCTGAATTGTCCCCTGTGTGGACAAGTCCTAAGCCTTTTTGTTCCCCGGAGGAGCTCTACTGTTGTAATATCTTCCCCTGGTGACTGCAGCCAGAACAGCATGCGGCAGCCAGCTTCCTGAAGTGATCACATCAGCACAATAATCATCTCTAAGTTATGCACCTGCTAGCGGCTTCATTAGTGGACTGGTACAGAGGACTGCTCTTGTGCTCTGAAAGTGATTACGAATGGGCACAATGGTAATCTCCAACTGTGAAATTACTGAATCCATCCTCTAAGATGGGGGCTTCAGTAGAAACCCTGGTAAAGAGTTTTAGTCTCTAAAACCAAGTTCTTTGCACCAGTGTTCTCATCTGGCAACATTCAGATCTAAATAAATAAATGAAAATAAGAAACAAAACCCTTTTTCTGACAAATCTCTCCTTAAATAACAATGTTATACCTAAATACATACTCTCTCTGTAGCCTTGCTGGCAATCTTTAATGTGTTTCTGTATGTGAGATCCTTGAGTTGTGAATTCCTAGGACTGCTCTGAAGTAAGCAAATAACCGTAAAGAAGATACTAAACATGTCTACAACTGTAAAAGAAAAACTAAAGAGCTACAAAATGAGAAGGAGATGAATTTCAGAAGCAGGGAAAATGCCTTCTTACACTCGTTAGCAAATGTTCCCATTTAGGGCAGATTTGCTATGTTTTTCTAACTTAAAATATCAATAGTTTAATGGATGGCATTTCTAAATTTTTGTCATACTGCAGTAGAAGAGAACTGCTGCTCTTAGTCTGCTGTTTCTGCTAAGAAATCATCTGCTGTTTCATCCTTTCTTGCTACTGTTGCTTAATGAAGCAGCTACTGTTCCTTCCTTAGCAACCTCTATTTATACAGTAGCAACTGACAACTTAAAGATATTCTATTGAAATATTCTAAAAATAAGTCTGATGTGACAAGAATAAAGTGCTTATTGAGGAAAACGAAAGAAAAGCCCCTTTGGCTCTCATTGAAGACAGGGAACTTAAAGCTAATCCTATTAGGAAACATCAGAAATAAAA